GATGCTCGGTGAAGGGGTTGCTGGGCACCAGTCTGGAGCGTCACTCCTAAGGAGTCTGAGGGAAGACGCGGTGTGGCCAGAGCTCCTCAGCCAGGCTGCGGTGCGGATGTTTCCTCCAACCAAGGGGCTGAGAACTGGTTCTCTGCTATCAGCACAGGCCAGGCTGGGCCCCACAGTGGTCTCACTCAGCAAGCCTGCGGGCTAACACAGGAAAAAGTGTCTCAATGCTTCCGAAGACACTTTTATTTTGTAAACATTTGATTAAGTCATGTGAAAGGCATTTGGGTTTGTGCTTTCTTAATTATCGAGTGATCTTATTTTTAAAAAAAGCTATTAACATACTGGAGAATATAAAAAAACAAGTATAGGGATTAAGAACAGGCTGACACACATAAAGATTATCTATCATGTATCAACTTTTTTTTTTTTTTTGATACTGGGGATCGAACTCAGGATCTTGAGCTTGTTTTTGTCTGTTTGGTTTTTTGAGACAGGGTCTCACTATGTAGTTCAGACTGCTCTGGAACTCACTGTGTAGCCCAGGCTGGTCTCAAACTCAGAGCGATCCTCCTGCCTCAGCCTCCCGAGTGCTGGGATTACAGGCCTGCGCCACCATGTCCAGAAAGGACCTTGAGATTGTGAGGCAGGCATTCACTTAACAACCTTTAAAGAATTACATTATTGACATGACTTTTGTTAGCGTCCTAGCAATACTTAATCCTAAATTTCCACATCTGTGAAGAGAATTCCAGGTAGTAGCAAGGTAAGAAATATACATCTCAAAGGAGATAGCTTGCTTAGTTAATCTTAGTTTGAATTTTCTGAAAATATTTTTTCCTGTCTTAAATCAACTTAAAAATCTCTTGGCCCAAGTATTAATATTTGTTTCTTTTTACTGGGCTAAAATATATACATAATTGGTCAGAAGTCTGCCCATCACAAATATTAGTTTTCAGCAAACAAGTTGTGGTATTTTGAAGCACAACTGGTTTAGACTGAACCGAGACTCTTAGCCAAAATAAGGGGAAAATGAACACAATGAGAAACTGGCTCACATTAGCCAAGCAACTGTGTGGTCCGGGCACCGAAGGCTCTGGCTGGTATTTGCTCCTAATCCAGGAAGGGGCAAGGGAGAGCAGCTATAGATGTTGTCCTTGTCAATAAAATCTTTTTCTTTCTTTTTTGCGTGGGGGTGTACCAGGGATTGAACTTGGGACCTTGAGCTTGTGAGGCAGGCGGCGGAACCACTGAGCTCCATCCCCAGCCCCTAAAATCACCTTTTTCTAAGTCATAGGTAAGTGAAATTTCTCTAGGAAGCCACAATAACACAAGCACATCATTCATTCATTCATTCATTCATTCACTGAATCCATTCATGAAGCCTTTACTGTGAGACATGGGAAACCACAGAGGCACAAACAGCAAGGGACAATCACCGATCACACACACAGTCAAGCCTAGACGTCAGTGCTCGTCCGTTATGCAGAAGCTGGCGTTCTGGGAACAGGACACACAGCTGGGGCTGACTGAGAAGGGAGGAGGGAGTGGAGAAGCAGCACTGTCCTTCCTGTCGTTCTCCTTCAACAGCATCCACACCACCTTCCCCGGGGCAAACATGTCCTCCCGGGCCTTAGAAAACTTCTCCTCCACGCCCTCACCCATGTACCAGTGAACACAAGCAAGTTCGTACCTTGCATCAAACCTGTGGCCTAGGCAAGCCCAGGCCTCAGCACCCAGCCTGCGATACGTTGGCCAGGTCTCTCCAGAACGCCACCCTTGAAGCCACAGGGGCGACAACCCACAAACCGGATGTTGTGCTTGGCCTTGGTGGTGGCGGTGGCAGCACTGACATCTTGAGGGATCGCATCACCACGGCACAACGGGCAGCGGGCCACGTATTTACCACGGTGAGGCCCACGTTTCACCATGTGGTTGGCTGGCTGCAAGCTGTCTGTGGAGGCTTCCTCAGCAGAGCTGACAGGCTATGTGTCTGGAGGGAGGTGGAAGCTGGGATAGGGCACCAGGTCGGTCTGGAATTCTGTCCGATCAACACTCAGGCTCCATGACATCTGAGGGAAGCTGTGACAGAAAACACAAGATGCTTAGGTTATAGCAGGTTGGGCATTTAATACCAAGGTTTCTACGACAGAGGTCACAGATGGCCTCAAAGTGTACCATGAAGGCACAGTGCTCCAGGGTGATCTGGGTGGTGAGCATGGAGCTGGAGGGGCTCAACTGCACTGTGGAAGGCGGGAGGGCTGCATGAATGGGGGGTAGCTTGATTTGTGCCGGAGTCAACAGAGACATACTGACCGGCAGGGAGGTGAAGCCAGAGCCAGCTCCCTGCCCAAGTGGAGAAATAAGAAGTGGATCTATGAGCTGGTCAGGCAGAGCAGGAATGCAGTGACCTGCTTGCCAAGAGTGTAGGGCCCACTGGCGTAGCTACTGGTAGTTCTTCCTTGCCCGGAACACGCCACTCAGGGTAGAGGAACTGGTGGCAGGTGCCCATGTGAACCTCAATGACTCCTCCAGGTCTTCTCACTGAAGACCCCGTGGGTCCCTGTGGGTCCAGTCACTTGGCATCTATCAGGCTGGATGCCAGCGGTGTTGCCAATCTGGATGCCAGAGTGGCCAATGTGGACAGATGCACACATGCGTGATGGCTACAGGTTAGGCCACGGGAGCAGACATCAGGTCCTGGTGTTGGTTAGTCCTCAACAGCTAGCAAAAGCATTTATTCCTGAGCAAATACCTCTAACTGAACAATGTCTTGGAGGTAATGTCCTGTCCCAAATGAGAAGCTCTCTGGCCAAACTGAGTGCTCCATCGGAGAAGGAGAAGAGAGTTCTTGCCTTACCCTCACTTGGAATGGAAGACACAGCTCTGGCAGCCCCCTCATTACAGAATACAACCTGTCCAGTTAGTGTGCAGCTTCTAGATGGTACTGCACCCTGCTGCCCACCCTAGAACAAAAGTAGTTATAAGAGAAAAGAAATCAAAAGAGTATTCCAAACGAATAAAACAAGTGCCTGGAATTTCTTCTACCTCTGAATTTATCATAGTCAGTGCCCTAAAATGACCAATGGCCACATGGTGATGGTCCTTAGCTCAGCCAAACAGCACTGCTGAGTGACCCAAGAGAAGTTCAAATGGTGGAGACAGTAAGACCAGTGGTGGCGAACCTTTTAGAGCTTCCAGTGGTAACCAATAGCCCACAGCGGCACACGTGCCATAGGTTGCCACGCTGCCCTAGATCTTCCTTTTCTAGGTACATACTTGAGATGTGAAACATCTCCACACCTAGTCACACATTCATAGCAGCCTTGTTTATAATATATCCATGATGGGGACAGCTCAAAGGTCCACCTACTGAAGAACAGATAAACGTTCAGTGGAGTTACATTATCAACTAAAAGGACCAGAGTGCCTACGTGGATGCCTTCAAGGACAGGGGCTCTTACCTGTCTGATCACTGATGATCAGCGTCTGGCACACTACAGATGCAAAGTACATTATTTTGAGGTGGAAGGGGGCATCCTGTAGTCCAGGCTGGCCTTGAACTTACAGCAATCGCCCTGCCTCAGCCTCCAGAGTGCTGGACCGATTACAGATGTGCACCACCAGGCCCAGCTTTCATTAAGTACATGCGAGGTAGGATACAAGAAATAAAAAGTAGGCAAAAAGGAGACAAGGAAATAGATTTTTCTCTCTCTTTTTTTTTTTTTTTTTTTTTGGTTTTTTGAGACAGGGTCTCACTATGTAGTTGAGACTGACCTGGAATTCACTATGCAGCCCAGGCTGGTCTCAAACTCAGTGACCCTCCTGCCTCAGCCTCTAGAGTGCTGGGATTACAGGCGTGCGCCACCACGCCCAGCTAAGGAAATAGAGATTTTAAAATTATACTTAACTGTAGCTTCAAAATGCAAAGGTTACTCAAACCCTTTTCCTTTCCAGGGAACTAATTAAAAAAAAAAAAAATTCCTGAAAGCTTTAAGACACAGCCTGTAAATCTGGGGTCTGGACCTGGCCTTTTCACCTGTCACCTGTTCTTCCCCTACCCCAACAGTGGGGCAGCAGGTCCCAGCTTCAAGCACACAGAGGTGCTTGCATCCTGACAAAACCCAGCAGACACAGAACTCATGTCCCAGATCACCCATCTCGAAGATACCCCAGACCCTAACTCCATCCAGCTCTGGCCCCTGTGTTGTGTCGTTGTTCTCCTAGCATCCACACTTCATCTTGGGTGCGTCCTAAAATCTCTAATAAGGCATCTGCGCCTCTTAGTGACTCATCCTGAAAGTTGTGTCACTGTAATGGGGGTCAGCGGACCTGAAACTTATTCTGCACAACAGTGAGACAGACCCCTTCTTTCAGCCATGGGACCCTCAGACCCAGCCCAGTGACATATGCAGTGAAGAAATAAATGAATGACCTAAGTTCCTTTATTGTTTTTAAAAGATTTTATTTGAAAAAAATGGCCCTATTTACAGTTGTAGAAAATGCTCACAAAAATACTTAAAAAATTACAAAAATACGGAGTTGGGGTGCAGCTCAGAGGTGGAGTGCTTTTCTGCCATGTGAGGCCCTGAGTTAGATCCCCAGCACTGCAAAAAAAACAAACCAAACCAACCAAAGGTACAAAAATTATCACATCACTAAGGGGCTACAAATTCAGCCATCAAACTCACTGCCACGTTTTGGAACCACCACGTATTGTTAGAACTACCACGAGATCAAAGGAGATTATTTAAGGAAAAAGTGATCTAATATCCAATACGGACCCTAGCTATAGGCCTTTAATTTTATAAGACAATAAGGTTTTCTGTATTTACAACTGATTTGAAATCCAAAAATGCCAGCTGGTTAGTAGCAGTGAGCTTGGACCAGCACCATATACACCGTTCACTATTGAGGTTAACTTCACTCTCCTGAGTCAGCAGGAGTAGGGAGGGAGGGAGGGAGAGAGGGAGGGAGGGAGGGAAAGGCAAAAAAAAGGAAAGGCGGGGAGGACATCTCCAAACGTGATTCCTAAGAGGTGACCAGGATCCTTAGGATGCAGTTTTTTTCTTTTCTTTTAAAACTACATTTTCAGCACGCAACTTTTCCATCTCCTATAAGTAATTGAGAAAAAGGAAAAAATTTAAGGCTCTAACTTGTATAGGAGGTATTTTTCCTGAATAAGCATATATTTTAAATTAAACCTAGAATGTTAATATATAAACTGCCTAACATTAAATAAAAATCTGGCATCTATGAGAATTTATTGGAATTATGTTACAACAGTAAAGAACAAAATTTTCTGGAATTCAGGACTTCCCTGAAGTAAGCCGCTCAATCATGCAATAAAATGGTAACTTCCAAACCAGAGTGGGTTAATTCAGAATAACGTTCAGAGCTTACCTTCTTCAGGCGGATCACGTAGTGAATCTTCTGATGCAGGTTCTGATGCCCTGCCAGCTTCCCGTTTTCCTCTGTGAGAAACTCCACCTGCGTCTTTAACATCTCTATCTCCTGCAGACAAATCAACCCGATCAAGAAGGTGAGAAGTAGGACTTCATGTCCTCTGAAATTCACAAGATTTCCTGACTCCCAAGAGCACAGTGTGTAAGAGATGGGAGCCTCGGTTCTAGCTCCTGCAACCATGTCTGTAGGCCTAGAGGGACTCAAACCAAAGACCCCATCCCAGAACACATTTTCTTTTTTTCTTTCTTTTTGTTTTTTTGAGACAGGGTGTCACTATGTAGTTGAGACTGACCTGGAACTCACTGTGTAACCCAGGCTGGTCTCGAACTCACAGTGATCCTCCTGCCTCAGACTCCCGAGTGCTGGGATTACAGGCATGAGCCACCACGCCCGGCCTCACAACACATTTCCACAGGAAGGAGGTTTCTGTCCATTAAACTTCTTTATTCAAGGTTTCCAACTACCATGAAAAGCCCAGTATATTAACACACCTGAAAGTATCTCTCTCTTTCCTCATATATCTCCTCCAGTTTTGATCTCAGCTGTTCCTTTTCCTGGAATGCTTTAGCCTCCAATGTTTGGGTTCGCTCAACTTCCTCAGCCATTCTGAGCCAGTCCATTTCTTTGCGATGAAGAGCACTTTGGGCTTCTGCCAGACTGGAAGAATAAATGCCATTTTATGGTATTCCAAAGGAATGTAATTCTAAAATAGCACTCAAGTTACACACTTCTCCCCAAACTGGTTTAATCTCTAGCACCACAAAAGAGGAGGAAGAGGAGGAGGAGGAAAACAAAGAAAAAGGGGTGCAGGGAGAGTCAAACAGAGGGAGCAGTGGCCACTTTTGGGGAAAGTGGAGAACTCATTTCCCAGGTAGTAGTAAATCTGATCTACGCTGAGCATGGCTGTCTCTATTCCCCTGTCAGACCCTGGCTGTCTCAGTTTCCCCCAAAGGTCCCTCATGTGTACCTCTTGTAGGCAACAAGACACAAACTGATTCTTGGGAACTCAGACAGAAGAAAGCCCTTGGAAACAACCATCTTGCAAATGTAATCTTGTGGAGACAGAATGTTTGGAGTTACCCCAGGAATGTCTGGCCTTTGAACAATGTAAACTTATAATGAAAAATTTTATACATAAAGTCATCTTCAAAAATATGCAAGGTTAAATAAAAGACAGATACTAGGAAATAGAGATGGATATTCTGCAAAGGAGAAAAGGAATAAGAGATGGAGAGAGAAGAAGAGGATGAAAAGAAACGTGTTACATGCAAGTTTCAACTCCTCATAAGGAAGGTAATTTTTTTTTCATTAAGTTTATTGGTACTTTTTAGGTATTTAGCACAGCTACATTCATCACTGGGATCTGGTACCTTTACATGATGTATCTTGGTATAAGGAATGTAATTGCACACTGCAAAAAAGATAAAAATTGAAAAAAAAAATGCATGATAGCTGGTTGTAGTGACAAACATTCTAGTCCAGCCTGGGAAACTTAGCGAGACTTGTACCAAAAAAAACAAAAAAACAAACAGTTTGGAATGTAGCTCAGTACAAAGACCCTGGATCCAATCCCCAGTACCAAGAGGACAAAAAAAAAGGTATCTCAAAATTCCTTTAAGAAGTATAATAGGGGGCCGGGGATTTAGCTCAGCGGTTCGGTGGCCTGCCTTGCAAGCGTAAGGAACCGAGTGCGATCCCCGGTACCAAAAAAAAAAAGTATAATAGGTAAACATGTTTAAGGACTCTGAATACTTATTCCAATGTCCTTCTAATGATATTTTATCATTTTATTGGTTATCATCTATCAGTTTACCTGTTTTGAACCTGACAGAAAATATAGTATACCTTATACATAAAAGAATGGGTCAATTTATAAGGATAGATAAATATGAAAACTATGAATAAATTAAAATCATGGCCCCAGAAAATAGAGAACCTAGGTCAAGACAAGAAGGGATCCAGATTCTGAACCATGGGTCTCAGAGGGCCTCAAGTTTTTCAATCTGAGGAAACAGAAGCCTAAGGGAAAAGGGCACCAGTGGGGATATCGTTCTCTTCCTCAGCGAGAACACCACTCCGTGGCTTTTCCATGCACTCATTTCTTTAAGGCTTTCTTTTGGAGTGGCTCTAGATGAAGACCCCCCTTGAGCATGTGTTACTGAAAGCATCACTGCTGTTCACATAGTAGGTAATGCAGGTAGGAAGAAGTTACTTACCTTGTAGATGTTTTTTTTTCTTTTTAAGGAGAATAAAAACAATTATCAAGAAATACTTACAAAATTATATACTTACTCTGTTTTCATTTTCAGCATTTCTTCAGCTATTTTGCTCTGTAAGATTAAAAAAAAAAGAAAGAAAAATATTTAAGTTCTTTAAAACATTGCTAAAAAAATGAAAGGAAGGAGTCAGTCCCTTCTCCTCATGTTCAGAAAATCGCCAGCTGTGCCCAGGTCAGGGAACCCGACCCCAAGTTTGCTTCTAAATGGAGAGCTGTGTGTGCACAGCAGCGGGCTGCCATCCAGGCCTGAGCACAGCACACTCCTACTGCTCAGCCGAGTCTAAGTCTGGTGAGCACTGAGAATACAGAAAAGACAGCACTTTTAATAGTGAAATGGGCTCTAAAATATATAACCAAAAACGTTAGTTATAAAAGCTTTTCTCAAAGAAACTATTGCATGTGCCGGGCACGGTGGCACACGTCTATAACCCCAGCACTTCGGAAGCAGGGACAGGAGGGTTACGGAGTCCAGCCTGGGCTACATAGTGATTTCAAGGTCAGTCTCAACTACATAGTGAGACCTCGTCTTAAAAAAAGAGAAACTATTGTACAGAAAAGTCATACTTGAGCAAGTCTTTCTTTGATAATTTCCTCTTCTTGTTCATTCTTCAGCTGTTGATGCTCCAGATGACTCTGATCGCTGCACAGATTAGGGGAACAGATAGGGAGACGCTGTCAAGTTTATTCAGGTACCAACTGTGCGTTTACCACATGTAGCCACGCCCACTGATGCCCACAGCAGCCAACTGTGGGGATTAGGTCTGTCAGCACAGCTGAGAAATGCAACCGGCACATGGGTGACACAAGGACCTCCCTAGGGCTCAGGACTGCTCCCCAGGACAGAAGCAAGAGTGGCAGCAGAGCTGGGAGATCTAAGCCAGGCACGCTGGAAAACAAAGTGAATTAGAAATTTAGTGGGAGATCCAATGTGAGCAAGAGGAGGCTGAGGGAAAGAGCCAGCTGGGCCCCCACCTCTTCCTTCCTGTGGACTCCTGGTGACCACCCTGGCTTTCCATGTGTACAAACGCCAGGACGGGGAGTCCCTGGGCATGGGCATAGGCAAGATCTCTTTGTGGAAAGGAAGTCCTCCTCAGAATAACACTTGTAGGTGGCACCCTGGTACTGTGAGGTCTGGCCAGCTCGGGGAATTGGTGGAGTCTCTCGCAGTCAAGACCTCCCACAGAGAACCTGCCTGGAGGGTGGGCTTCTCTAGGACTCTGACCGGTGAGTGCCAAGACCATTTCTCATAGGAAAACAGAAGCTACAGGAAGATTCCTTTTCCTTAAGGAATCTGGCAGCCTGGACCAAGATGGTAGCAAGACTCCACTGAGGACACCGCAGATCATGAGGGGAAGGTGTGTTTTCTCATGTGCATTAATCCAGGGGTAGGCGAACTATTTCTGGGAAGAAGCAGACTGCAAGCGTTTTAGGCTTTGACAGCCTTTGTCTGTCACAGCTGCTCAGATTGGCTACTACTGTGCAAACGCAGCGATAGTGGTATTTCCACAAAAAGAGGTGACCATGTCCCGTGGACTGGATTTGCTTCCTGAGCTGTAGTTCATCCCTCCTCTAATTTTTCACAAAAGGTTTGCGTGGCTCTTCACGTAAGGAACATGAGGACCGGGGATTTAGCTCTGTGGTTCTGCTGCCTGCCTCGCAAGCACAAGGTCGCAAGTTCAATCCCTGGTACCAAAAAAAAAAAAAAGACATAAGGAACGTGAGACTTTGAGGTGAAGTGTTAACTGTGGTTTAAGAAATGCTCTGGAAATGTTCTATGTTCCATGCTTTTACTAAGTCTTGGTAAAAGCCTGACATGGGGATGGATGGACACATGGATACTAGGTGAGCAGACCGTCAGCTTCACATGCCAGTCACCCAGATGGGGAGTGAGGTGCTTATTCCGAACGCAGTTTTCTGGCTCTGCCCCATCCTACTAAATGAGACCGCTGTGATGGTTAACGCTGTCAAGCCCACTGATTTGAAGGACCCGGTGGAGGTGAAGCACACTTCCGAGTGTGTCTGGGCAGGTCATGGGGTGTGACCCTGAGGACTGTCCAGTCCCGGGCCTCACCCTTTGTGTGTTGCTTCCTGATGCTGTGAACTGAGCAGCTCCTCCCCCTGCCAATGCCTCTGCCTTAGAGCCAGCAACCTTAGACTGACAACTCTGAAACCGCAAGCCAAAGAAGCCTCATTCCTCTAAGGCGAGAGTGTCATAGGTGTTCTGTCCCAGCAACGGAGAGCCGACCATATGGGTTTGAGACAGCGCATCTCAGAGTGGCTTCCGGACAGCGCTGAGGAGCTGGCAAGCTCTGTAAAGACTTTCTGGCAGCAACATGGACAAGAGGCCCCTCATCCGGGCAAGGGAATTCATAAGGGCCTCCATCCCAGAGGACCCCCAACCCTTGATTCTTGACAATGGGCAAGACAATGGTTCTGCCTTGTGCACTCCCTGCCTTTCATGGGGAGGATGTCCACGTCCGGACGTGGAGCCTGGTACTCTGGTGTGCTGTGGCAAATGCACTAACCAGGGAGAGCAGTGACTGAAGCTGGGTTGCGCCCAGCACAGTTCCTAGGCCAGCGCTGCTCTGAGACATCTGCAGTGCTCTGGCCCTCCCTGAGCAGGCCTGCACCGAGAGCCACGAAGCTGAAGGAAATCCTCACTTACTGCAAGGCTTCTTGGACCCTGCCTTGTCGTCTTTGTCATTATTTTTGTTGGTCTTATTTAAAGCGTAGTTTGGCACAGGTGTCTCACCTGTTTGAAGCTCATTTCAGCAGGCTGATGACAGTGCACAAAGGCCGACTGAGGGGGTGCTCACGAGCGCTATCTTCCCACCCTGGGAAAGCAATGCCTGCCAGACCACGGCACCGGGAGCATCTCGCCTCGGGCCCCGGCCAGTGGGGACAGGACGCCCTTCAGAAACCTCTTCCCACCTCGCTCTGGGCACCACACCCAGGCTGGCCAGGCCCATTGCCCTGCTCACCTGTGGTCCTGTCCTTCAGTGTCATCCAGCTGACTTTGCAAGAGCCAGTTTTTCTCTTTTAGCTGCTGATTCTCCAGGCGCAGTTTTTCCATCTCACAGAGCTGCCCCTAAGAAGACACCAAACAAGTCTTCTCAGAACACTCAGAGCAACAGTGAGTTTGCCCCCAAGGCCAGGAGCATGGGTCTTCTCAGCGCCTCCTATGCAACAAGCACCACCTGGCATCGCTGGATGAAATGCAGCTGTGACAGCTCTGGCGGCCTAGAGCTGACCCACAACCATGTCATGTAGCGCCTTCAAATTCCACTTGGAGGAAAAAGAAGACCCTAGTTTGGTAAATTCCTCAACTGTGGGATTCTTTTTAATAGAGTCCAATTAAAATATGAAGGAAAAAACCCCATGCCACGGCCCCACTCTCAGAATCACAGCTGGAACCTCACTTAGAAATCTTCAGCCTAACCATCCAGAAGAAACAAACACTTGGCGTGGGAGAAGCACTGAGCTTGCTTCTACTTGCGCACAGGCTGGGGTCTGTTAACCCAACACAGCTGCGTGTTTCAGGATCAAGCCAATCTGGGTAACAGCCACACTCAGCACAACCTGCAGCCAGGTGCTGAACAAGGGTGAGAAGGGGCCTCTCCGAGAGCAGGAAGACATGGAGCGACACTGTCTTTATGAGCTTGCCAGCTCTGGGTTACAGTGATAGGACTGTGCTCCTGCAGGGCCATGCCCAGGCTAGAGGAGACCTGAGGAGCATGCGTCCCGCCCACCCCCACGCCACCTACCCCATCCTCTCCACCTGCCAAGCATGCACAAGCAGGGGAAAGGGAACTCATCACAGACACACACGTGCCTCCCTCATATACACAAAAAGCCTAGAAATCATTAAGGAAGAGCCAACAGAAAAACGGAAAAGGGCATAGCTCACAGCAAGAGAAACACAAAAAATGCTTAATTTTACCTTGAGGACAGATACTAATTTAAACCACACTGAGATAACATGCTCCAGCCTTTAACTGAGAGATCCAGAGGTCAGACGGCGCTGGAGGCGAAGTTTCAGGAAACAGGGCCTCTCGGCACCACCGAGGACCACGCAGCCAGTCCAGTGTGACACACTGAGTAAACTTGCTGAGGCACAGAGCAGATGCTTATGGACTTGGCCAGAGATGGACCCAAAACTTTAACAAAGAAACTGGCTACCCTGGAAGCCTCCGGGACAGCAGACTAGCTAGGGATCAGGGTTGGGAGGAAGACTCTGTTGCCACCTTTCAGTTCTATGCCCTTTGAATTGGTACTCTCAGCCACCATGAGGAGGATACTGCTTATTTTGAAAATTTTAAAATCATTGAAAAAAAATTACCCAGGTACCTTCACTCTGAGTATTTCAGCATTTTTGACTTCTCTGTCTTCATTTAGCTTTGTTACAAGCTGCTGTAAAAAGGTCTTTGAGGTTCTTCCATCTTCTATCTCTTGTTCTTGTGTTTCCAGGAGTTTTGCCAAATGTGTTTGAAAGTGAGGTGGTGTTTTAGGACTCTAAAATAAAATCACAGGGTGGGAATTTAGCTCAGTGGTTCTTGCATCTGCCTCGCAAGTGCAAGGACCTAAGTTCAATCCCCAGTAACAAAAAAAAAAATCACATCACATCTAAATATCTGATCAACAGCTCATGTTATGAAGAATTCATTCTAGGTAATAGGGACTGAATTTGGGACCTTGTGATTGCGAGGCAGGTGGCAGAACCACTGAGCAGCCTCAAGAATTCCTTTTAAATATATACATATAACACATGTTTCATATGTCCATGCCACGCCACAGGCCACTTAGCTAGTTACTCTAATTCTGTTTGTTTTTGGTACTGGGGATTGAACTTGGGACCTTGTGCTTGCAAGGCAGGTGGCAGAACCACCTAGCTAAATCCCTGGCCCTAGTTACTCTAATTCTTGTCCAAGGAAAACAAACAGGAGTGGTGCTTTTATCAAGAAGAAAGCAGACACTGTTAGTGAAAGTAAAAAGGCAAAACTATGGTCTTTAATTTCCTAACCGTCATGAACAACCCTGTATTCCTCCTGAAGTACACTCTATTTTTTTTGTTTTGTTTTTGAAGAGTACCTGGGGATACTCAGCAGCTGAACCCATCACATGTTCTAGCTGCCTCATTTTGAAGTTATATTCACTTTTCTTCTGATCCACTTCCTCTTTCTTTTGGTTGAGCTGGAAAAATTAGAGAGAAGGGTTACGGGTTAGAAGGTAATCAGAGCGCATGATCCATTCAGAGAAGACAAGCTTCCCCACCTCCAAGTAGCAAAGCCCTCCCACAAGGAGGCCTCGCCTCACAGCATGGCCAGCACACGAGGCTGAAAGCTGCGCACCAGCAGGGTGAGGAGAGAGAAGCCTTCTCCCCGCTGATGGGATGCTAACCATACAGTCCTTGGGGAAGGCTCAATAGTGGCTCCCCAGGAACCAGAGAGAGTTGCCACGTGGCCAGCAGCCTCGCTCCTCGGCACGGGTCCCACGGAACCAAAGCAATATGCTGAAGAGACATCCGCAGTCCTGATCACCGCTGACAGGCTGTGGAGTCACACTAAATGCCCATCAGTGGAAGAATGGGTAAAGAAAATGGGACAAACACCCGTAACTGAGTAACAGCCAGGCCTAAAGAAGAAACACATTCTGTCACTGAACAGCAGGGAAGATGCTGGAGGATGCAGGGCAGACAGTCAGACACACACGGTCTCTCTGTGATGGTCACCGGGACTGCCGATCTGGAAGACCGAGAAACACTTAGGAATGGCAAAGCACATCCGGGTGTCTGTGAGGGACTAGTGCTGGGACAGTGGCGGGTCTGTCCATAGGGTGGGAGCTGCTTTCCCTGCCCTTTGCCAGGATGTTTCTGCCTCATGGCTTCCGGCCTGAAAGCAATGGAGCCAGCTGGCGACAGGACTGAGACCTGCAGTGGAATAAACCAGGACTTCCTCCCCTAGTTCTGATTTTATCAGTCATCCGTCACAGTTGACACACATGCGTGTGAGGAATCTAAAAGAGCCAAACGTACAGAACAGTGGCTACCAGAGAGGGATGATGCGGATGAGACACTGGTGAAAAGGTACAAGGCTTTGGTCAAACAGGACAAAGTTTTTGAGAAATTAAAATGTGTAGGGCCAGGGATATAGCTCAGCAACAAAGCACCTGCCTGGCAAGGCAAAGTCCAGAGTTTGATCCCTGGTAAAATATATTTCAAAACTGCGGAGAGTGAACTCAAAACATTCACACCACAAACAAGCTAAGTATGTGAGGTGACGGATAAGTAATGAGCTTGATTTAATCATTCCATTACATATACATATATAAAGCCATCACAATGTAATCGATCCACACACACAATTGTTATTTATCAATAAAAAATAGTTTCTTAGCATGCACTCTACACACAGACTTATACACACACACACACAAGCTTCTTCAGGTACGAAGAAATAATGCTTTTTGCATTACGTTTTTTTGAAAAAGCAGTATTTTAAAAACCCAGCATTTTTCAAAGTAATATACAGTGAAATTTGTGCTACTTTTTTTTGTCTCTCTTCATTGCTGCCATAACCCAACCATCTTACTTTTTCCCAAAAACAAATTTATACTTGCTTTTACTTCTTAAAAATTTTTTTGGGGGAGTACCGGAGATCGAACTCAGAACCCTTGTGCTTGAGAGGCAGGTGTGGTACTACTAAACGAAATCTCCGGCCCTACTTTTAAAATTTCATGTGACAAAATGCTTAGTGAAGAAAAATATAAAATGTAAACAACAGCGGCAGTCAAGAGATGGTGAAGGTGAGTCACAGCCTTGGCTCTGACAGAACCTGCCCCATGTGCCAGGGACGCAGGGCCAGGGTAGGCAGCCGGGCGGGAACCCACATTCATGCCCAGTCACCCGCCTTCCTGGCCCGCTGTGGCCCTGCATCAGTGGGTCCTCCGGCGCCCTCACCTGGTGCTGAAGTTCCTGGATCAGGGCCTCCTTCCTACACAGCTCCTCCTGAGCGGACTGCAGCAGCCCTGAGTGCTTCTTGGAGGCCTCTGTGAGCATGTTCAGCTGCTCAGTGGCGTGCGCCAGGTCCTCGCACAGCATGTCCCTCTGTTAGAGACATCCCAGAAGAGAAGGGTTCTAAGTCATACTAATCCAATGAAGGCTCACAAGTCATTACCATGTACGTTCTGAAAGGTTTAGATTTTTTGTGTAAGACCTTATGAATTTTCTTCTCCTTGTATGCTTAATTTATTCAAGGTAAACCCACAGATAATGTCTAGATGACCAGGTGCAGAGGTAAGAACTATTTCTGAAAATTCATACAGGCTATCCCAGCAAGGCCTACTTGCACTTATGCCTCGCACCGAGGATCTCAAAGCTCCTGTCTTTGTTGGGGAGGACTGAGGCACAGGGTACACCCGCTATTCCGTCACGAGGCTGTTAGACACCAGAAGGTGAATGGCTATCAAAGACAGCACACCCCAGCTCTCAGAAAGTGGCAGAGAGAATGAGAAGTCTTGGGGATTGCATTTTTTTAAAGTACTAGTAACTGAACCCAAGGCGGTTGCACTGAGCTACATCCCAGCCCCCTTTTATTTATTCGTTTATTTATTTATGATTATTTATTTATTTATTTATGAATGAATGAATGACCGGGGATTGAACTCAGGTCCTTGTGCTTGCAAGGGAGGCCACCAAACCACTGAGCTAAATCCCCGGCCCTTTATTTTTTACTTGAGACAGGATTTCACTGAGTTGTCCAGGCTGGGCTCAAACTTGCAAGCCTCCTGCTTCAGCCTCCCACAGCACTGGGAGTACATGCATGTGCCACACACCCAGCTGCACACATAATTTGCTTAGCCTTCCTTTCCAAAAATTTGTGTGTGTATACACATATTTTTATTGAAAGATTTTCTTTTCTTTTTTTTTTTGGTACCAGGGATTGAACTCAGGTCTGTGCACTTGCAAGGCAGGCGGCACCACTGAGCTAAATCTCCAGCCCCCTGTATACACATATTTTTAAAAATACCCAATGTATCGCAAACATTCTATTAGGTACTCTGTTGTAGTTTTCATTGAGAGGCCTCCATTCCATCTCACAGGCAACACGATCTAACCCACTATTAAGTATTCTGGCCAACCTGAACCTTTATTACGTGCATTTACCTCACATCCAGACTCTGGGACAGCACACATACACCTTCTTTTGTCCATTTCCCATTCTGTGTTTGAGACTCATAAGAGCTCTGGGTATTAAGACAACACACTGTCATCAATTACATTTTCTTCCAATCTCCTGTCAAGTGTTGTACTGGTTATATCCACCTTGGATATTTATCCCCACAGATGTGTGTGTGTGTGTGTGTGTGTGTGTGTGTGTGTGCGTGTGTGTGTGTGCGCGCGCGCGCACACGCATGTGGGTGGGGTGCTGGGGATTGAACCTAGGAACTGAACTACATCCTTAACACAAAACTTGTTTTTTCAGACAGGGTGTCTCACTATGTAGTTTAGACTGTCCTTAAATTCACTGTGTGCCCAGGCTGACCTCAAATCCCAAGAATCCTCCTGCCTCAGCCTCCTGAGTGCTGTGCCACCATGCCTGACTATTCTCAATACCTTTATTTTGAGACAGTATCTAAGTAACTAGATTGCCTAGGCAAGGCTCAAACTTGCGATCCTCCTGCCTCAGCCTCCCAGGTAGATGGGATGCCAGGTGTGAGGCAGCACACCTGGCTCCCTCCCCAGGTCTGTAAGTTGAAAGCAGGCACATATTCAGTCTCCCTTTCCTAGGCCTTTCTGCTCCTCCTCAGATGTGACAGAACCACCCAAGCCTGCAGGCTGGCAGCTGGATGCCCTCCAACCGCTTCCTCCCACACGGCCCAGATCCAGCTGGACATCGACGCCCACCCACTGCAGATTGTCAGCAACCACACCTTCCAGAAGCGCTCTGGGCCCAGGCCTCCCATCTTCTACCTGGGTTTGAGGCCTATGCCATTGCATGTTCCTGAAAGACCCGTCCCTGCCCTCAAGGCACTGCACACCCAGGCCCAGCTCTTCCCACTGCTCCTGTGCTGGGCCCTGCGCGAGCATTCACGGCACCGAGCCTCCCACCCTCACAGTCTGCACATACACCACCCGTTCGGGGAACTGTCTGGAATCCCTCAAGCAGCATTCCGCCTGGGTCAACATCTAGAAAGCAGGCCATGGTACAGGAGACAGTGTTTAAGTCGTCCTCCTACCCCTGAGCTGGCCAGGCCCAGGCTGCACAGTAGGGACACACTAAGTATTTGTTGTCTCAGGCAACATCGGTTTCTAAGAAAACCTCATTTCTAAATGACAGGCAGGCGGCAGAACGAGCTAAATACCCGGCCCCTCATTTCTAAATGAAACGTGCGACAGTACACACGGCAGATGGCCAGCTGTGCGAGGGATGAGGGAACTGGGGGAGGACACACAGACGGGGATAGCAGGGAAGGAGGACACTGCCTCTGAACCTGTGACAGTATGGCTTAGTCTTAAAGCAGATACACTTACACCCACAACGGGACGACAACAAAAATATGTACTTGAGCTAAAACACGAGATATGTGAACTCAACCTGCAAACAGCCCTTCAATCTGTTGCCACCTCTGCGTGTGGCCAGAGCACGCTCCGCACCGCTCCTCTCACGTGAGGTCAGTCACAGCCGCTTACCATGCGCGGCACCAGTGAAGGAAAACAGGCCAGCTGCCCAAACGTGACGCTGGGGTTAGCGCATAACTGCCTGGCCTTCCCTGGGAGAGTGGCTCCGACTTGCTTCTACTTGTTCACTGTCAACCTCCACACACGCACACACGCACTGACAAATAATAACAGCCACGCTGTTAACACCCACCTCAATGTCATCAGAGAGTTTCCGCAGCCTCACGGTTTCCTTCAGGTCCAAAATCTCCACTTCATGCCTCTGAATCAGCACTTTGCTTTCTTCTCTGTCAGCCAGAGCAGAGTTGTATTTGCACTGTAGGAAAGAAAGTCATGATGCAAGAGCTGTCTGCTTTTTTGTAGGTTAAAAAAACAAGCAAGGCTTGAGGTCTATGAGAGCAACCAGATGAACGCAATTCAATAAATCCTTGTTAATAAAAATGTGAAGCCCCAACATAACCGTGGAAAAACACTGTGTTCTGTCACCTTGGTCAGGAGCCGGCCTTAGGGGATGGACACAGTCCACTTAGGGTGCGGCACTGACACAGGCGGAAACTTCACCGCCACCCAGACAGTGGAGGGCACCAACAGCCAATGGAGGCACTGCGAGGAGAGAGCTGCAGCTGCTCTGGGCAGTGGCCAACGCTAACTCGGGAAATGAACCCATTCTCCACACGGCTCGCATCTCTGAACTTCAACGTGGGCCACTGTTTTCCTGAAACAACTGAGGAGCACTATGTTGGCCTGAAACGTGGGCAACACCCGCTTCGCTTCTTCTGTGGCTTGAATCAGCAGCCTCGAGGCGGTGCACAGAGAATGTGTTGTCAGGGACACCAGTGCCCAGTGCACCAGTGAGCCCTGGGCACGGGCGAGGATGTCCCGATCACTGACCACTGCTGTGCTGCTGGGGTAACAGTCAGCCCTTCGGAGGTGTGAAGTGTGTGTCACAGCCAGATCCAGCATCGAGGTGACTGAACTTACACTCATGTCCTCCAGTTCCTCCTTCAGGGTGTCGATGGTTTCCGTTTTTTCACACACCGATGTTCTGAGCTCCTGGATCTGCTTTGTGAGGTCGGCTATCACTTCCTGATGAGGACAGAAGGGTATTTTCATACCCAAAGACATTACCATCATTTCTAAATGCTAAGCCATTTTTTTCTTTTCCTAATGGAAGCGTATGAAGTGAACTGTAAATCTAGTGTGGTAGCCTGTTATCTCAGCAACCTGAAAGGCTGAGGCAGGAGGATCAAAAGTGCAAGTTCCAGGGCTGGGGATTTAGCTCAATGGTTTGGAGCCTGCTTGGAAAGCACAAGGATCTGAGTTCAATCCATGGTACCAAACAAACAAACAAAAAGCTCAAGTTCCAATTTAGGAACTTAGAGATTCTGTCTCAACTAAATAAACAAACAAACAAAAAAGTACTGGGTTTAATCCCCAGAGTAGAAAAGAAAAAAAAAGAAACAATTTTATTGTAGTAAAATATCATGTCACATTCCATTATTAACATCAATTTATATTTTAATGGCCTTATTCCACTTTATTTAATCATTTGGTTGGTTTTACTTATTTCAATGTGTTTTCAAGGTCTTACTATGTACATCAGGCTGGTCTTAAACCCACAGCAATCCTCCTGCCTCAGCCTCCTGAGGTCTGAGACTACAAGCCTGAACCACCATGTTAGGTTAATTATTTGGTTTTATGAATAAGATCTAGATAAGTAAGTTCTACACTTATTTTGATTTGTGGATAGGATATTATTCTAGATAAAAGTCAATACCAAGGATTTGTGAATTTATATCATGAGATTTAAGTGTCAGTGAGATAGGCCCAGGTGTGGTGGAGCACGCCAGTAATCCCAGTACTCAGTAATCCCAGTACTCAGGAAGCTGAGGCAGGAGGATTGCTGTGAGCCTGAGACAAGCCTGAACAACATAGTGAGACCCTGTCTAAAAAATAAAAAAACCATGTTTATAGCGGCACAGTTTGTAATAGCTAAATCTTGGAAACAGCCCATTTGCCCATCCATTGGAAACTGGATAAAGATGTGGTTTTTCTATAAAATGGAATATTACTCCGCCATAAAGAATGAGAACATAGATTCATTCATAGGAAAATGGATACATATTGAAGATATACTCCTAAGTGAAATAAATAAGTCACACATGTGTAAATACCGAATAGTTTCCCTGGTGTGAATAATCTGCAACTATGCATAAGATTCTAATAAGATTACTGACATTTAGAAATGGGAAGAAAAGAGCTAAAGGTGTAGGGAAGGTGGGATGGGTAGGGGAAGAGTAAAAAGGGAAAAGAAAAAAATGTGAGAGAATGAAAAGATGAAAATAAAGTGTTTGTAGATGGGGAGGGGAGGAGGGGGTGAAGGGAGGGCAGAGGTAAGGGGAAAAAATGAGAATCAAGACTTGTCATGTAGAGGTACAAGATCCCAACAATAAATGTAACTGTACTGTATCCCTAAAATGTACCAATAAACTCAATTAAAGCTGGAAAAAAAAAAAATAAAGCCAATGAGATAAGGTCAGTATCCCAGTTACACAGCAGGATGTGTTTCACAAACATTGCCATCCAGTGTCACGGTAGTTTGTACTTGAAGTTAGTTGGAAAACTAACCAACGTGAAAGACCTCACTCTTAGGAACCCCGGAAGATGAAGACAAATACAGCCTAAATGCAAAACAAAACGGTAGCTCTCAGGTGCCCTTTGGGGGTGAAGGGGTGGGTCTGCAGTGCCAAGCAGCACTGAGTGGGAGCTGTGGCCGCCTACCTTGTCAGCATCTTTAGACTTTTCCAGAGAACTGGTCACTGTTTTAGCAGCAAGCAAGCTCTCTTCTAGTTTCTGTATTTCTGCCACCTAAAAGAAAAAAAAAAGTATTTTAGAAAAAGAATTAAATCACAAAGTTAGCTACACACACTTTATTTATTTATTTGGTACTGGGGACTGAACTCAGGACCTTGCGCTTGCAAGACAAGTGGCGAATAACTGAGCTAAATCCCTGGCCCCACACACGCATTTTATTTTATTATTTATTTATTTTTTAATTTCAGTTTTTGGAGACAGGGTCTCACTATGTATACGAAACTGACCTGGAACTATGTAGCCCAGGCTGGTCTCAAACTCACAGTGATCCTCTTGCCTCAGCCTCCCAAGTGCTGGGATTATAGAGGTGCCCCCCCCAGCCCCCACATTGTTTTTTTTTTTTTTTTTTTTTTTTTTTTTGGTACTGGATTGAACTCGTGTCCTTTTAGAGGCAGGCAGCGGAACCACTGAGCTAAATCCCCAGCCGTCACACATGCATTTTAAAAAAGGCTGTTTGTTACCTGTTTTTCATATTATTGAGTCTGAACTAAGAATAATACTTGAAAATAATCAATTCCATTGAAAGACAATGATTTTTGTGGTCTTTTCTAAGAGACCAACAAATCCTAAGATTATGGTGACCCTAGGGGTTAGAAAAATAAAAGTCACACACACACACACACAAAATAAAATACCCTACCAGGCATGATGGCACACACCTGTAATCCCAGCACTTGGGAAGCTGAGGCAGGAGGACCATTATAGGTTGAAAGCCAGCCTGGACTACACAGCAAGACCCTATCTAAAACAAACAAACAAACAACCCTCAATCACAACCAGCCAGGTGTGGAGACTGCATGCCTGGTAATTCCAGCACTGTGGAAAGCCGAAACAGGATATGAGCTCAAGCCTAACCTGTGCAACTTAGCAAGACCATCTAAAGTAAAAAGGGCTAAGGCTGGGGATTTAGCCCAGGGGTTCCACCGCCTGCCTCGCAAGTGCAAGGACCCGAGTTCGATCCCTGGTACCAAAAAAAAAAAAACGGGGGGGGGCAGAGGGGTTGGGCTGGAAATGTAGCTCACTATAAAGACCTGAGTTCAAAAATAACAGTAGGTCTGGGGATTTAGCTCAGTAGTCCTGCTGCCTACCTTGCAAGCACAAAGACCTGAGGTTTGATCACTGGTACCAAAAACAAAATAAAATAAGGCCACCAAAAAATTTCACAAATGATGGAGATTCTAACAGTGAAAAGTTTCAAAAAAACTTTTTACAATGAATCTCACTAGATATGAAGAATAAAAGTTATAAACTTCAAAGTGTACATTCAGAATAATGGGAAATCTACCTGATGCTCAAACTTGGCCATCTCCTTCTGTTTCTCCTGACGAGCAGCCTCAAGAACTTTTAAGATTTCTCTGGAATAAAAGAATGACCTCTTACCTGGCTTCATTCAATGGAAACAGGATCCGGGTTCGTCAGGTTAGATTTCCTCCCCTCCCCTTCTGGGGATAGAACCATGGGCCCCGTGAATGCCAGGGAGGGCTCTCACACCGAGCCACACCGCAGGCTAAAAGTAACTCTCCACAGCACGGAAGCAAAAACAAGAAGAGAATAGGGTAGTGAACAGTACTTTAATTAAGCAGAAAGTATTGACAGCACTCACTTAGAGCTGTTTTCTTTATCTTCTTCAAACTTCAATGACAATCTGTTGTTTCGTTCTTTTTCTGCTTCAAAAAGCTCCATCAGATTCTAAAAGACAGCCTCGGGTAAGACTGGAGGTGGCCAGGCCTGGTAACATGTGGCCAACAAACAAGTGGCTGGCAGGGGTGGGGCAGGATGTTGGGTGGGGGTCAGACGGTCCTTGCCCCTCGCCGAAACAGCAGCCCAGATCCAGGACACGTTCGCCAGCTGCCAACCCCTTCCCAACTTACACTCAGGTCAGACCTCAGAGTCTCATTTTCTTTCTTGTAGTTTTGAAGGCTCTTTGAAAGCTGGTCGACCTCAAACTTCATTACTTCTTGTAAGTTGTCATAGGAATCCTGAAGGCAGGCTTGGCTCTCAAGAAGCTTTTCATTTTCTAATCTTTATCAGGAAAATATTTTATGATGGTAAATACAGAGCTAACGTATTTTGGAGTCAGATTATCCGCAGCTCAGTTTATGCCATCAACAGACCCCTGCTGAGGGTCCCTGGCCTAGACTGGACCTCCTCTTGGCCTTGTGCAAAGGCCCATGATGTGCACAAGTCCCACGGACCACGGGGAGAGGGTATTGGATGGGGACAGCAGGTAGCAGCCATCACTTTCTCAGGCTCACCCCTGAGAAAGACTGAACCAGACACAATCAATGGACCAGTAATGCGGGGTGAGTCGGTCCACTCCTGGGTTACCAGCTAGGCACTAGTTATTAATTTCCAAGAGCTGATAGCTCAACCTCAGTCATAAGTTTTTTGCAAAATGGCAAACACGCTCTGATCTCACCTACAGAACCGCCTCCTGCATTTTCAGTTTTCCGTTCTCATTCCCTCCCTTGATCAGTGTCATACCCAAGCCCCCAGAGCCCAGCCAAGCCCAGCAACAAGCAGGCTGGCCTCGGACCCCAAACAGACGTCCTAGCTTCAACACGGAGCCATCAGACACAAAAATACCCACTACAGCTCAGAGCACAGCAAGAGCACCAAACACACAGTGGAATAAAATCCCGGTAAAAGTCAGATTGCCAGGGAAGGACACACACAGTATATGTACTTATGATGTAAGCGGTATAGAAAAAGTAGGCAAAAGAATTAAGAAGCACACTCCAGTGTTGTGTTGTTTCTTCAGAGGCCCTGACAGCCTCTCAGTGCCATGATGGAGAACAGGCAGCTCAAAAGCCATTATTCAACAGCAGAGACACTGCGAACAATGAAATTGTGCCTGGTATCTTTAGACAGAGTGTACTTAATACTTCTAAGGTAGAATTTAAGTACAGAACTAAACAGAGTGGATTCTTCACATATTTCAATCTTGTTCCACTCTATCAAGTAAAGAGAAGGAAATTAAGATCCAACAAGATTAAGAGAGTGGTTTTCTAAAAAAAAATCACAGAAAACTAATCTGCAGCAAAGCCAAGATCTGATTCAGAGGCGCAGAGCAAGGCGTAAGGCAGAGAGCAGCAGTGATGAGTGACCGGTTTCAGACCCTGCCCTCTGTGCCTCCGGGTCACACCCACCCCCGCAGAGAGACTACCTGACGCTGTCCAGCTGCAGCTGTGCCTGAAGGTGCCTCTCAGACAGCTGGCTGAGCTCTTTCTCCTGACTCTCTCGAAAGGAGCCATACTCCACTTTTACGGAAGACAGCTCCTTGTCGGCAGAGTGAAGAACCAGCCGCAGGTCATGCACCTCACTTTTCAAAACTAAAAAAAAAAAAAAAAAAAAAAGAAAAGTCCTCAATAGGTGTCTTTCTTTTTTAGTTTTGTTTTCTCGTACTGGGGATCGAACTCAAGACCTTGCACTTGCCAGGCAGGTGGCACTGCTGGCTCTTCAATGGGTTTCTTTACAGGTGTTTTGGTACCAGGGATCCAACTCAGGACCTTGTACTTGCAAGGCAGGCGGTGGAACCACTGAGCTAAATCCCCCTTTTTACATGTGTTTTTAAAAGTTGGCAAATAAATTCCCTGATATCACCTTTTCGTACAGAAGCTGAAGAGCTAAGTACCCAGGACTAATGAGACTTGTTTCCTTCTTCCAAGCACTCTGCTCCTTCCTACATTTCTACTACGAAAGAAGAGCCAACACCTGACCCTCACTTGTAGTCACTGGAGTTTTCTAGATTTGGCCTGTAGAATGTGCATCAACTCAATATAAGACAAAAAAAATCACAAGATTTAACATTTATGAAGTCACCTGATCTTAGTTATTGAAAATCCTTTGGTAAATATCAGAACTTTATAATATAGGTTAACCATTTCTAGTCTTCTAAAGAAACTACCTGAAAAGAGAAATAGGCAACTTTTTAGATCAAAGAAAATAGGACGGGGCTGGGGATTTAGCTCAGTGATTCCGCTGCCTGCCTCACAAGTGCAACATCCCAAGATTGAGTCCCAGTTCTCCCTCTAGCCCCACCACCAAAAGAAACCCAAACAAACAAAAAAGAAAACAGGACGGCTTTGTTTTGTTTTAGCTTTTTAACTATTACAAATAGTCTGATGAAGAGAAAATAAACAGGAAAGAAAAACTGGGAATCAAATGATACCCATATATCTACAAATGTATATAAATAATTTATGCTTTTTTCTATCAATATGAGAACATTCATCCCATTATATCAAGACTCATTTTCAAGGCAGTTTATTTACAACTTTAAGCAACTATTTATGTCACATCTAACAACAAAACAGCCAACTAAAAAAAAAAAAAAAAAAAAACCACAGGGATAATGTTATGGCTTATGTCAGATGCCCCCCAGATGTCCCACATGCACTCATGGGTGGGGCTTTTGGATGACTGGATCATGGGTGTGTAATAACGGATCAGCTCACTGACTGGTTTGGCAGAGTTCTGGGTAAGGATGATGGATTTACCGGGGGTGAGGTCCCCAACCTGGGCATGGGTGGCACCAACCAATAAGCTTAGAGCCTGGATGGAATGAAAAGAAGGATGAAGCTGTAATGCTTCTTGCCGGCCACGCCACAAGCTGTTTCTCTGCTGTAGTGGCCTTCTGCCGTGCCACCATGCCTTAGAGCCAGCCAACTATGGACTGAAACCTCTACAAACTGTGAGTTAAAGTAAAGCTTTCCTCCTTTAGCTTGTGGGTGTGGGGTATTTTGTTCCAGCAATGAGGGAAGTAAGACAGATGGCATTAACCTAAGTGAGTAAAAAGATCCTAAGTTACAGTACTTCGGTCAGGGCACAGAGACCCTGATTGTTCACACTTACAGTCCCTCTCAGTCTGCACATCTCGAACCTGCTTTTCAAGGGTACTGAGCTGTAGGAGATGCTCTTGCTGCTGGGTGGTCCAATTAGTTCTTTCAGATGAGAAAAGCTTTGGGAAAGAGATAGGATTACTAGACAAGGAATGCAGGGTTTCTAAGACACAGTCCAAATCATTAAGTTGTTTCTGTTTTTAATGTTTAGTTTTAGGCCTCTGATAAGAAGAAACTATAGCTAAGGTGACCAAGAAAGTACTGGATGATGGCAAGAACATGGATGAGTCATCTTTTTTTCTTCTAAAAACTGGCGAGAGAGCTGTCTGCACTGTTGACAGAGCCAGCCAGAACTCAGACGGTGAATGCCAGCCTCATTACCAGAGCACTGTGAAGTCAGAGTCACCGAGGCTTTGGGAGGACACTGTACTCCCACGATGCTCTGACCGGGCGCATCTTCTACACTTTCAGGGCCATGCTCCTGTGCTCACCTCCTGCATCTGTGTAGAATGGTGTTCCAGTCTGTCAATATGCTGCTGAAGTTTTAGACTTTTATGATTTTCTTCATCCAACTTGACTTGAAGAGCAGTCATTTGTTCCTGCAACACAGATTTTAGCCATCAAATTTCTTTTCATGGAATTTGTAATCCTCCACATTTCTTTTTTCATCAGAGACAAGATGGCATTGCAAAACTGCATATGAACAAACATCGATCGGCAAAGGCCTGTTTGGAGGCAGAAAGCTTCACATGGCTATCTTACGGAATCTTCCTTATACTCGTGGTTCATCAAAGTGGGTGAGTTAACATGCACAGGAAAGGAGGACTCAACCACAGAGCCCTCAGGAGACTTCTGAGCAGAACTGCACGGGGTTACTTCTACACGAAGGCCTCCACTCTTGGAAAGGGTAAATGACTGGGCTGAGGATGTAGCTCAGTGGTTCTGCTGTCTGCCTCGCAAGTGCTAGGACCTGAGTTCGATCCCCGGTACCA